AAAATTAAGTGCGCAAGCATTTAATTTACAAATTGTCAGCAATTGTTCTTGCATGTAAAACAGGCATATCTAACTGGTTCAAACTTCAAAAATTATTTCCTTAAAAACTGATGACACTTTTATTTATAGCAGTACAGTGCCATTTAACTGCAAATAGTTATTGTATGGATCACTGTGATAACAATTAGACTGTGCACTATTTTGCATGGAAACCATAATGACCATCACATCCTCAAATCTTTCACCATGTAAATTCAGTTCAAAGACAGACATCATCTGCTCTTGTCAGGGCCCAAAGTGGTAGGCTGACTGATCAGCAGTCCGAACAACACTGCCATCTCTACAACCACTAGCATGGCCCAAAATGTAGGCCTACATAAGACAGACAAAAAGTCAGGATCTTCCTCACATAATTAATGTTGCTTCTTTGGCCATGTAATTAGTGATTTCTTAATTCCCTGTCAAAAGCGCAGACAGGTTGAACACATTTAAAGAGTTTGTTGGATTTAATGGACCGTACTGGACAAGCATGTTCCCAGAAAATCAACATATGCAGTTGATAAGGACTGAAATTGTGGCTGAGGATCAGTCAGTACTATGAAAACTATAAAGAAAAAAGGGTTGAAAATGTGCTTTACACATTATTTTAGAAAGAGATAAAAGAGTCATAACAGCTTACATTCACTACTAAATATGCAAACATGCATTAGTCAGTTTCTAATAAAACTATATGAAGAAAAAAAAACAAGTGACACTGGTATGTAAACTGACAAACTAGCTTCAAGGCTGAAACCTGATACAGTCCCAGCATAATTTAAAGATAAAAGTAATTAGGTAATAACACCGCAGCATCACTCAAGTCAGAAGCCCTTACAGCTAAGAAAAATCATTTACCTCTTCCCTCGACTTGTGAAGGGATATAAACTGCCAGGCAGCTGCCACTAAATGTTTGAAGTGTAAAGGTAAAAGCCAGGAGGAAGGTCAGACCTGTCAAGGTATAGCAGTCAGAGTGGATGCTTGCAAAACCAGAGTTCTTCAATGGCCTGAGCTGCCCCGAACTCACACAGGGCTTTCTAACCATTTCTGTCCTAAAATATCTATTCAACTCAGACACAACGGATGTTGCACTTTTCATCTTCATCCCTAACCTTCTTCTATTACTCACACGCAGTTGTAGCCTATGTACTGTCAGTCTCACGGTCAGCACAGTTCTTGTTGCAACTTTTTAAAAACATTCCTGAATATTTGGTGAGCGGAACAGTCAAACTCAGTATAGTCTTTTCCATATCTGCAAAAATACACAGGAACACCATGTGTTGGCTCTATGTCTGATGCAAGGAAACAGCAATGACATATCTTTTATAGCTCTCAAACATTCAGGCAAGCTGTGACAAATAGTGACAAGCTCCCCACAAGCAACCTATTATAGAGATAATGGATAATGCAAAAAACACGGATGAATAAAACATTTTGCTCTTTATAACTCAATATATTATATTATTATGTCCGGCTATTTTCTCAATAACAATTACATTCTCTCACGGTACCCATGCATGACACCATAAAACTGAAATATTAAAACAAAACGGATACTCACAGCTTCTCTTTAGCTCATTGAAGCACAGAAAACTGCTAGCCTTACTAAATGGCAGTCACTTGGAAGCGCCTCTCACCCCTAGAAAGCCTTATGCAGCTGAAATGACTCACATCCCCTCTTCCAACCTCTGTCAACCATCATGAGGAGGTAAACATTTCCAAATATGGAGAAAATATGAAGACAGTATTGAGGGCAATATCAGTTTGGTTTGCTCTTAGCTTGGAATGCCATAGTCTGTGAGCCAGAGTCCCTCTGCAGAGCCAGTTCTGTGGTGCATACCTTTCACTAGGAATAATAACGATGACTGTAGAGAACTGTTCACAAATCGAGCTCAGTCTGACCTAACATGGGTAACACTGTCAGCCTGCCCTATGAGGCCTATTCTAAATAGCAAAGAGATTAGTTATCTTAAAACTAAGTGGGAATGACAATACATTGCAATAATGACATATAATAAAAAAAAAATTTTTAATTCATCAGGTGACCAGTACCAGATTAGAAGGTAAAGACAAGCCCATATACTGTAAGAAGCTCCCGAGTCTTATCACACAGATCGTCTTCAAGTGATAAAAACGTGCAATTAATATCCGATTATGCCCCGTGAGTGCCGCAGGTCAGCAGAGATCACAGTAATATTAGCAGCCATTAAGAGAGAACATTACAATGCTGTCTGGCCTGCAGTATCGATGAGCAACTTGGCGTGCGAGTGCTCATTTCCTCAAGCCCACTTCATCTAAATCCCAAAGGAATGGATGAGTGACCAGAGCACTGAGACTCTTAGATTTTCATACATTCTATTAAAGATACTGATTTAATTTGCAGTTGAACTCTGTTTTTTCTGCTCACTTTCAAATTTGACCCATTTTCATATACTCCGGAATCTGGTGCAAATCAGTATAAATACTCATATCAGAATTCATGCAACTTTTAGCATGGTTTATTTGCCACATTTGTCAGTGCTTCACACTGGCACTTGAGCAAAGATGAGTTCAGACAGCTGCAGTGGAGGTGATCATAAGGAGAAACCTGAGGTGCTGCAAGTTCTTTCAAATGTTGTTTTAATGAAAATCTAAAAGATGTAACCTCTGTTTAGAAGCACCTTAGAACAGCCGGTTAAACAGAGCCAACTGAGAATGTCACTTCAATATCAACAGAAGAGATATGAGCCTTAACAACAACATTAAAGAATCTGGCTGAGGCTGGATAGGCTGTGCTTTTCCCTAGTTAAACCAAACTGTATGCAATAAGCCCAGCTGAGCCAGTTGAGATACATGACAACACCACATGCTATGATTGCACTCAATTAGCAGCACTATGAAACACACTGTGAACAACTTAACAAGCCAAACCAAACCTGAGCAGTAAATCAAGCCATACACTTTGAATATGGCCTCACATAAAGGTGATATTACACCTGCTACACAAAAGCTTACGACAATAATTCATTAAAAAGTTATGTTAATAAGAGTTCTCAATGTAAAACAATGATTTACCAGCAAGTAGTTAATACTTGAGACAACCAAACATATTTTGCTTGTCCCACTAATCTACTTTAAGTTCCCAAACCATCCCCGTGGGTGGAGATGGGATGCTTTCTGCACATGACTTGCCTATACAGTGCCTTGCGAAAGTATTCGGCCCCCTTGAACTTTGCGACCTTTTGCCACATTTCAGGCTTCAAACATAAAGATATAAAACTGTAATTTTTTGTGAAGAATCAACAACAAGTGGGACACAATCATGAAGTGGAACGAAATTTATTGGATATTTCAAACTTTTTTAACAAATAAAAAACTGAATAATTGGGCGTGCAAAATTATTCAGCCCCTTTACTTTCAGTGCAGCAAACTCTCTCCAGAAGTTCAGTGAGGATCTCTGAATGATCCAATGTTGACCTAAATGACTAATGATGATAAATAGAATCCACCTGTGTGTAATCAAGTCTCCGTATAAATGCACCTGCACTGTGATAGTCTCAGAGGTCCGTTTAAAGCGCAGAGAGCATCATGAAGAACAAGGAACACACCAGGCAGGTCCGAGATACTGTTGTGGAGAAGTTTAAAGCCGGATTTGGATACAAAAAGATTTCCCAAGCTTTAAACATCCCAAGGAGCACTGTGCAAGCGATAATATTGAAATGGAAGGAGTATCAGACCACTGCAAATCTACCAAGACCTGGCCGTCCCTCTAAACTTTCAGCTCATACAAGGAGAAGACTGATCAGAGATGCAGCCAAGAGGCCCATGATCACTCTGGATGAACTGCAGAGATCTACAGCTGAGGTGGGAGACTCTGTCCATAGGACAACAATCAGTCGTATACTGCACAAATCTGGCCTTTATGGAAGAGTGGCAAGAAGAAAGCCATTTCTTAAAGATATCCATAAAAAGTGTTGTTTAAAGTTTGCCACAAGCCACCTGGGAGACACACCAAACATGTGGAAGAAGGTGCTCTGGTCAGATGAAACCAAAATCGAACTTTTTGGCAACAATGCAAAATGTTATGTTTGGCGTAAAAGCAACACAGCTCATCACCCTGAACACACCATCCCCATTGTCAAACATGGTGGTGGCAGCATCATGGTTTGGGCCTGCTTTTCTTCAGCAGGGACAGGGAAGATGGTTAAAATTGATGGGAAGATGGATGGAGCCAAATACAGGACCATTTTGGAAGGAAACCTGATGGAGTCTGCAAAAGACCTGAGACTGGGATGGAGATTTGTCTTCCAACAAGACAATGATCCAAAACATAAAGCAAAATCTACAATGGAATGGTTCAAAACTAAACATATCCAGGTGTTAGAATGGCCAAGTCAAAGTCCAGACCTGAATCCACTCGAGAATCTGTGGAAAGAACTGAAAACTGCTGTTCACAAACGCTCTCTATCCAACCTCACTGAGCTCGAGCTGTTTTGCAAGGAGGAATGGGCAAAATTTAAGTCTCTTGATGTGCAAAACTGATAGAGACATACCCCAAGTGACTTACAGCTGTAATCGCAGCAAAAGGTGGCGCTACAAAGTATTAACTTAAGGGGGCTGAATAATTTTGCACGCCCAATTTTTCAGTTTTTTATTTGTTAAAAAAGTTTGAAATATCCAATAAATTTCGTTCCACTTCATGATTGTGTCCCACTTGTTGTTGATTCTTCACAAAAAATTACAGTTTTATATCTTTATGTTTGAAGCCTGAAATGTGGCAAAAGGCCGCAAAGTTCAAGGGGGCCGAATACTTTCGCAAGGCACTGTAAGTTGCCAAATTATATGTCCAAATTTTTTGCACTTAAACTGGAAGCTAAAACATACAACCTGCCAAACATAAGATCCACTACCACCCACCACAAAAGCTGGCCAAAACACAGGACCAACACAATGAATATAACAAAGTGCAGCTCAAGCTGTCCTACCTTGTCTCCTCTCTCGACCTGTGGGATTTCTGGAATACAGCTGAAGCAATGTCTTTTACTGTATGTTGAAATCTGTTGAGATGGAGAAATAAAGACAACTCTGACTCACTCTAATGAAATACTACAATCATGTTCTGCATGACCACACCAACATGGGCCAGTACGTGGATCTTGTCAGCTAGACTGTTTTTCCATGACTGTGTCATTCCTCAGTGGAAAGACGAACCATGCAAAGGATCTAAATCCTGTACGTGCAAGATGTCCATTTAAATTGATTTTTGTCATTTTTCACCTGGCACCTGTCACACTGTCGAGGTAATACTTCACTGCAAAGACAGTGAAGGGAAGACAATGCAGACAAGTACTACAGGAAGATTTCACTATAGTCTAACAACTACTGCATGAACAAAACTAACAGACTAAAACAACATTTGTTATAGGTCCAATTGTGCAGCATAAGGCATAGCAACATTTAAAGCTCCGTCTTTACACATAAAAAAAAATGTTTTTCCTCCACCCACCCACCCACACACACACACACACACAGGCATTTTTATTTAGCCCGTCTGATTGGTTCCCTAGTCAAGTATACACTGCCCGGCCACTTTATTAGATACACCTTTACAATTGTTTGCACTTCAATGCATCAATTCCGCCTTAACATCTGTGTTTAGGAAGCTCAAAATGTTTGTTTTTGGTGAAATTGTCATAAATGTATAAATTCACTTCTCTGTTTATTATTGAGGTCATAGTTAAAGGTGGTGTTGTACTGAACTACATTATATTCAGAGGTGTTCCTAATGTTCTGACCCTCTCATGTATGTAGCTGGGGAGGACAAAAATAGACATATTTCACCAAAAATCTGAACATTTTGAGCTTCAAAAACACAGATGTTAAGGCAGAAGTGTTGCATTGAATTGCATACAATTGTACAGGTGTACCTAATAAAGTGGCTGATGAGCGTAAACTTTGAATGGAGCTGCAGGGGGCTATGGCTACACTCCCTTTACATGCTGAAGTGACAAACATCTGATTTTTTTCCCCTCAGAGTGACTCAGATCTTTTCACAGATGTGTGAACAAACCAAATCTAATATTTTCAAACCAGGTCTGGCCCACTTCTATATGTGATTCACATCCGGTCTCTGACTATGTGACCTCTGTCAGAACAGTCACATTAGAATTCGTGTAAGTGTATTTTTCCCACATCTTATTCCTCTTCACATGCTGCACATACTGTATCGCCTGTCGCAATCATTCCGTGTTTGCACCTCGCTGACACTGATAAACATAGAGGAAGGCAACAACAGTGCAGGGGGTGAGAAGGGGGACAAGGAGGCTTCAAATGTGTTGGACATTTGTGGAGAAGCTTCTGATTAAGGTCAGCTGGAAGGAACATCTCATAACTGAGCAGGTTTTTTTTGGGAAACTGCACAATTTGACCATCATTCAAATGGAACAGTTATCCTAATATACATGTCACTCACATTTCAGTTAAATCTATGCATGTATGGCAGTTTAGGAGCTCAGTAGTGTTCACATACAGAGTCAAAAACATGTCATCAGCTAAAATGAACATGAACTATTCACACAAGTAGGGAGAAAAAAAAAAAAAACAAACTTGGACATTCAGGCCTGTACAATAGCCTATGTGACATCACTAATAAGAATAACAAATGCAAACTGTCCCACCCCCCCAACAGGTGCAACAAAACTAAGATGAGAGTGAGGGATGTGTCAATCAAGTGCAGCTCTCACAGTCCTGAGCAGAAGCACTTTATTAGACAATCCAAGTGCAGAGGAAAAAAGGTTTATTTGGGAATATGTCTCAGCTATGAAACAGCCCTGTAGCAATTCTTCCAGACAATGAACTGTCCTGCAGTAACTTTTGTTTAAGTAAAACACTGTCAACATGGTTGTGCAAACTGGCCTGCTACATGTCACACCCCTAGCCGTGAGCACAGCAGACATTTCACAACCTCAAATCAGAAAAACTTAAAATAGTGATTTGCAAGTCAAAAAAGTGCCAAATGAGGCATCAGAGAGCACGGTCATCCAGCTTAGGTTTGGCCCTTTGCCCTTTACACAATGAAATCCCTCCAGATTCCTTGAATCTTTTAATTATGTTATGCACCATAGAGGGTGACATATCCAAATCCCTTCCCATCTTTCATTGAGGGACATTGTTTTTAAACATTTCAATAATTTTCTCACACATATGTTGTCAAACTGGTGGTCCTCGGCCCATCTTTGCTCCTAAAGGGCTCAGCCTTTCTTCAATGCCACTTTTGTGCCAAATAATGATGCAGTCACCTGTTGATTCCATGTGAAACAGGTGATGTCATCAGTTCATCGTTTTACCTCTTTACTGGCCCTGAAATCCAACATCCCAGCTTTTTTGGAATGTGTTGCAGCATCAGGATTGAAGTGTTTATTTTGAACAAAGAATAAAATTGATGAGGTATCACATCAAATAACATGCTGCTGTATTGTTTATGTAATACAGGACACAGATGATTTACACATCACTATTTTCAGTTTTAATTTAAATTTTACATATCGCCCTAGTGTATTGTCAGAGGTATATTTGATTTGATTGTGTCATAACATTATGTGACATTTGCTCTGATCCATTCATATTTTAGTGAAGGTAATTTCTTTAAGATTGTATAATGTAAAGCATTACTGGTTTGCTGAGTTCATCGGCCTCAGATCAGTCCGTACCGATCAGATTGTCACCTGCCACATTAGGGCTAAAGGTTGCTACCCCACTGCAGGAGAGATAAAGCAACAGTATGACTGTCTGTGAAACACACAGGCACTGCTGTGTACTGGTAGACCACACTTAAGCATTACAAACACACACTAGTGTCTTTGGTAACACATTCTAAAAGCTCCCTTTCTGACACCACACTCTAATCTAAAACTGTGCAGTCGGATAAAGTCTGTCCTGCAACAGGAGGACATCCTCATTAAAATGTGCCAAAAAACACAACTTGACTAGACCTAGTGGGGGTGGCCCAGGCTCAAAGGCACAGTTGAGGAATTCGTCTTTTAACTTTAACATCATCAACACTGTCAAACAAGTCCTTTTAAAGACAGTTCCACTTAATGTTGCCTGAGTCAAAAGTGTGTCGGAGTGGCGCTGATGTATTTGGTTTGAAGGCAGCACTCTCAGGGGACCTTGGTGTTATTGATTTAAAATTCACATCCAAGTCAAAGCTTGAATTCAGTCATTTACAGATGAAAGTGTAACTTATGTTTCACACTCACTACATTTTATGGCAGAACAATATATATAATTTAGGCCAAGGTTCTTTTTCCACTCACAAAGAGGAAGACAACTGAAAATGTCAAAAGTCATTTATATTGGCTTTCAATTAAGTCATCTGAGACTATGACCCATTTAAAGCTCCGGAGGAAAACCTGAGACAGGAAACTACTGCTTTAAGATAATGTAATTTCTTCCATGCAGATAAAGAAAACCATGCACACTTCAAATGTCTTTGAAAAGTCAGCATACAGTCATGGCCAAAAATGTTGGTACCCCTGCATTTCTGTCAGATAACACACCACTTCTCCCAGAGAATTGTTGAAATCACAAATTCTTTGGTCCTCTCATGTTTATTTCTTTTGTTAACACAACACAAAAAAACTGAGGAAAAAAGCCAAATCTGGTCCACTCCACACAGAACTCCAAAAATGGACTGGAAAGAATTACTGACACCTTTTCAAAACCATCAGGAATAGTTGTATTTCAAGCATGTGATGCTCCTTTGATTTGTAATGACACTCACCTGTAGCAGCCAACAGGTTCTGGCAACATAGAAATCAAACTTGCAGCCAGTTAAAATGGAGAAAAGTTGACTCAACCTTTCTGTAGTGTGAACTACACTCGGCTTGGAGAAGAGAGAGAAGAGCAAAGAATTGTCTGAGGATTTGAGAACCACAACAGTGGAAACGCAGGGACGGTCTCAAGGCTCCAAGTCCATCTCCAGAGATCTGGCTGTTCCTGTGTCCACTGTGATCAACATTGTCAAGAGGTTTACAGCCCATGGTGCTGTAGCTAATCACCCTGGACATGGATGAAAGAGACAGATGACAGATTGCAATTCATGCAAAGGAATATAAAACAGCCAGAGTGGAGTTAACTGACCTGAGGAAGCCACAGTCCTTCTGGGAGAATGTCCTGTGGACAGATAAGACCGAAATAGAGCTTTTTGGTCGAGCACATCATTGTACTGTTTTCAGAAAATGAAATGAGGCCTTCAAAGAAAAGAACACGGTCCCTACCGTCAAACATGGTGGAGGTTCACTGGTGTTTTGGGGTTTGACTGTGTGTATGGCATTATGAAATCTGAAGACTACCACTGAACTCTGGGGCATAATGTAGGGCCCAGTGTCAGAAAGGTCTCTGTCAGAGGTTATGGGTCTTACAGCAGGACAATGACCCAAAGCAGACTTCAGAAAGCACCAGAAATGGTTTCAGACAATGAGCTGAAGAGTTCTGAAGTGACTGCAATGAGTCCAGATCTAAACCCCATAAAGCAGCTTGGAGGCATCAGAGATCAGCAGCTGGGAGAAGGAACCCTTCAAATCTGAGAGACCTGGAGCAGTTGGCAACAGAAGAGTGGTCCAACATTCCAGTAGAGAGGTGGAAGAAACTCACTGATGGTTACAGGAAGTGAGTGGTTTCAGTTCATTTGTCCACAGGGTGTGCTACCAAATATTAAATTACAGGTGCCAATAATTCTGTCCAGTCCATTTTTGGAGTTCACAGGCTCTGTGCGTGTGTGTGTGTTTCAATGCAAATAAAAGAAATAAACACAATACCAAAGAATGTGATTGCAACAATTATCTGGGAGAAATGGTGTTATCTGACAGAAATGCAGGGGTGCTGATATTTTTGGCCATGACTGTATGTGTCCATTAGTACAAACACTGTTCTCCAAACCTCATCATATCCCATTGTACACACCCAAAACTTCATAGTGAAAATGACACAGGGAGTAGCATTCCATATGAATAAACAAAGGTTCCAGTGTGCCATCATAGCACTAAGAGGATGGGATTCATTTTGGTTCATTTATGGTTACAAACACACAGCATGTGCACAGTAGGGTATTAACAAGGATTTCCAATTTTTGGATACCATTTAACTTATTAGCTCAAAGAGCAACAAAGCTGCCTCCTTCAGAAACCTCTTGGGCCACTTACATCTTGGTCAAGTCTGTCCTGTGTTAGCCCTAAAGTCTGTCCTGTCACTGTCATAGAAATGGCTTAAGTAGTCAGCCAGTTAAAAGTTACCTACAACAACGTTTAATAAGTACTCAAACTTTGGGTTGGGTCTGTTTGTGCATTTCTATACCACAAACCAAGTCAGTGATGGTTTACTGCTTTGCCTTTTCATCTAGGAAAACACTGCACTGTACTTGATCGTAACTTCTTTATGAGTGATGACAGGCCTAATGTTACACCACTGCATTAGTACTGCCTCCACAAACGTGTGCCTATGTGCACGATACTGTCATTTATTATGTCTAATGAACTCAAAGGTTCCCAACCAAGAACATGAACAACAGTTTTGTGAAAGCTAACAACAGTACGGTCTTCAAAACTACTGAAACAACGTGGCGAATCTGTGCCTCCTCTCGCGGCACTGTAACGTTATGGGGATGTGTTTTCTTTAACACCCAAACTAGCAAACGACTTCTTAGCTAGGAAGTACACCTGTAACGAGTTAGGTTAGTTCGCAGGCTCTTGTGACACAGCTAGATTAAAACAAAAAGTTTAGCGACATATTTCTGTGCAGATAAGGGCTTCTCATGTTCCTCCGGTGACAGTGCCTTCCGCATTGCTCAGCAGCAGACCATTTGGCTAAAAACAGAAACACCAAAGACGCCCAACTGACAAACCCTGACGTTTCACCCTCTTATAAAGTCGCAGCATCGCTGAGCCACTTACTAGCGACAACTTATCGTTGTTAGTATCCTCCTGTAACACCGGCCAAGGCTCCCGCACCGAGTCCACGCCCTCGTTGTGAATTCCGTCCGAGCTACAGTAACATTCATATTATATCCTAACAAGGCCGAACAAATGAAAGACAAGCTGCTACAACGCTGGGATATCGGTCATACCTAAGATTCCAGCAGTTCACACACAGCCGATATCTGCAGAGGTGTGCGTTAGACGAGCGCTCGATAGTTTCACTTACCTCGCTTTCTAGGAAATATAACAGAGGCTCAAATCACACCAAAAAGTGAAACTTCTGGATCCAAATTCTGGGAGAGTTGTAGGCAGTGACGTCACGCCCTGAAATTCCAGCCGCCTCAGTCAGTGCAGAGGTTTGCCCATGTAAGGCAGCAGGCCAGCGGTGTCACCGGGCCACCGCATCACGGCCCTCTGTGCACCGGACAGCGAACAAAAAGAAGAAATGGCCAGTGTGTGTCGGAATGTAGCTGCCTCTGCGTTTTCCACACCTAAACAGCTGTTCTTATAAGCCATTGTGAAATGGAGTAATTGTATTTGTAACTAAGTTACATACACCTGTAGCTTGCAGTCTAATTAAGTGCCTTGTCTACCTCAACACAGGTAAAACAGAAAGCTTAAACTCACAAATTACCTAGAGTCACATTAGTTATTAGATGCTTTTGAAGCATGCTGGTGCAACTAATTGTTGTTTTTAATGTGCTATAAATAAAACAAGATTTAAATTTGACACAAAGTTCTGCAGTAGGCTATATTTTATAAGTGCTGATGCCATAAGCACCTTTTGTAATTGTTTCGGTCATAGCACTTTTCCCTCCAGTTTGCAAGATTTTCTTTGCATGCATGCACAGAATATGTGAACAAGGCCTTAGTGTTTGTACAGTTACACCTTCAACAATTTGTGTAAAGTTTTACATAACTTTTTGTGTGTTAAGTGCCAAGAAAAGTGCAACCTTTTTCTCTGGGAATGAATAATATGGACTGCGAGGTTTGGGGTCAGAACACACCCAGTGCATTTGTTTTTGATTGTCCACAAACATCTGGCCAGTTAGAATTCTGTGTTTTTACTCACTTTCTTATTAAGGGGTTGAAGAGCAGAAGTGGATGAACAGTTGGTCACCAAAAGACGGACTAACAAATAAAATGATTTATCGCTTCTCGCTGTCACACCAGCATGCTGCCATCATATTCCAGTCACAGGTTACTGTGACATAGTTACTTTTAAATGTGAAATTTGGCTAAAGTGTGTGTTGTGACTCCACACAGACTAATTGTACACAGTATGTTCCATATACTTTAAAACGTTTTTAATAGCAACACACGTGTCTGACATGTCATATTAGGGTAAGCACAGATGTTACTATTAACATGCACAATACCAGGACCCTGAAACAGAAGCAACCAAATGGAATTTAGCTACCTTTAATTGTATTGTTTACACCTGTGTTTATCTGGCTGTGACATGTTCAAAAGTTTTCAGTGTTTTTGAGGTTAGTTCACAAGAAATTAACCTTACTGTTTTGATTCAATGTGAAATATAACATGTGCACAGCCTTACATCAATCAAAGTGTGACTTTCAAAATGCGACTAGCAATTAAACATCACGAAGAGAAAACAAAAAAATATTTATACAAAGATTTAAAGCAGCATTAGATATTTCTGGGCCTGTGGGGTTAACAGAATAAGTATGCTGTAAACACAACACTGGTATACAGTATTATGACCTATTTATTATTATAACGTTAATCTGATGAGTTTGTTAGCTATCAGTTACCTGTTTACACATCCAGCTGATACTAAGTAATTATTATTACTCAGTATTATTATTAATTGGAGCCATGTTTCTGTGTAAACAAATAATCCAAAACCTATTGTCAATCCTCTTTTAGCTATTTTTGGGACTGGAGAAAAGATATCTGGCTTTTTAGCTGATAAATGCTCCACCATGACTTGATTTGCTTTTTAGTCCTGGGCAGGTAATGGATATCGGGTATGCTGGGGATTTATTACTGAAAAAAGTAGTTGTGAGCAACTGCTTCATTTCCAATGTGCGTTGTATTAAGGAGCACTCAAAAATGTGGTGTTTTTAGTAACCATACCTTTTTCAAACATTTTAATTTTAACTGTGCAAATACAGTAAATCAGTATGTTGCATGGAACTGGAGACTAGTAACTTGTTACATTAACAGTGATTCCGTTCCATACAAGCCACGTTAGTAAACTATGAAGTTAACTTTAAGTTAACTTTTCCTGCTCTTAACACATCAAGATTTCTGCTGTGAAAAAGATCTATGCTGACAGCTAGATTAAGCTCCTTCAATCAGTGTACTTTTTTGACTAAAGGCACGTCACATTTGTAGAGAACTATCATCTTTATTTGAACAGTACCTCAATATATTCTAGTTTATAATGAGTGAGTACTCATTATCCTCAGCTTGACTTGAATTTGGAGTTGTTCTGCCACTTCTTGTTTCTCAAAGCTGAAATGTTTCTGATGTTTGATCTAAGTGAGTCACTATCAGTCGTCCAACAAAGCTCTCGCTTCATGTAGACTTTGCCTGACCTCAGTGATCTCTGCCATGCAAACTAGACAATTAGACCGCAAGTTCATGATTGCATGCAAATACAATAAGTGCTTTTTCAACCCTGATTCTGTTCTCACAGTGTTCATTATACTGACATTGTGTTTTGTGTATTTGTACACGCTGATACATTTAGACATTCAGATCTTATCTTCTACTAAAAATGTCTGATGGGATGATTTGTATAAATAATAATGAAAATTAAAGCTCTGTCATTCTCTTCAGAGGCCAAACGTAAAACAGAATCATTCACTCTGAGCCCTATCTTCTCACCAATAATTCTCACTTTACTGAGACTGATTACATTGTGCTCCAAGCTGTGAATATACTTTTTTTCCACTGTGCATGAAGAAAGCATAAACACCACTTCCAGATCAAGCAAGCTGATAAAAATGATTTGAGCTATTTTAGCATCTTACCCATGCATCCCCTCGTCTTGAAGTTGCAGGGCACACTGAAAAAGGTAATCTCATTTGTAATGTGTGACAGCTTATTTGCAACTGTGTACACTGGAAATTTTTTAATGGGCCCGCTAGTGATTCTTCTTCCACTCTCAAAGCTGATTTCAAAAAGACACCCTGTAACAATTTAGATGACACATGCTATCGCCTGTGAACTCAAATTATCAATCAAGCACCAATTAACATGGCTGGTTAGAGGAAATCAAGGGCTCTTTGATGTTTGGTAGTTGGGGAGTGTAGCTACGCATGTCACTGATATGATGGGTTTCAATTTTACCCTCATTGTACCACCACATATGAAAAGAAATACACGCACAGAGTCCACCACAGCCGACAAGTCAGACCGGAGACATGTCTGTTTGTTCTAACTTTGTCCTGTTTCTTAACATTACTCATTTACAGAGAATAAATACAGAAGGAAGAGTCAGAGAAAACAACATCATTTGTCATATTGTCATGTTTCAATTGTTCCATCCATTTCATCGGATATCCTGTTTTATTTGCTGGTTGTAACACTGTCTTCTCCCCCACACCACTTCCTCTGAAGTTAGGTAAACCTCAAACACTATACAAAACATAGCAGCTGCACATGTTGATGTGTACTTCCTCATAAAACAGTGAGTGAAAGCGTGTGTTTTGCACCTACATGCTGAATAAGAAAGCAAGAAACGGATCTTCTAAATGCAGGTCTCTTGGTTTTAAAAAGGCCCCGTTTTTAGGAATCAATGGCAGATGCTGACAGTGCTGATATCATGTGGGTCCTGATGCAAAAGTAGAACGAGGTTCATTTGTAGGTAATATCCTTCAGTATCTGGCAATATTCATTGCAAGCAGACAGGCAAGTCCAGGTGCTATGCACAAAAACAGCACAGAGATCTTTGCAGGGGAAAAAAATACAACAAAAACAACAAATGTGTCTGGGAACTATGTATGCTCTGTTAATTAGAGCTGAGATAGCAGAGATTAGTCTTCAAGCACAACCAAAAACAAAAGTAGGAGACAGGCAGACTCACTACAAAAACAATGTCCCAAAGCTACTAATCAAACAACTCCTGATCTAGATCAAGACCCCAGATTACACTAATGAATTCTAATTCCTATGTTTTAGCATGTAAATGTGTTTTTAAATGGTAGACAGAGACAATCCCTGCCTACAGCACACGTTTTAGCATAAATGATCCATGCTTGAGAGGGGCATGCTGCACCTTTGAAGCATTTTTAAAGCACAAGGAATTTGTCGTTGTATCCTGACATCTTTTTTTTTCCCTTCTGGGGGTGGGGTGGTGGTGTTTGGGGTTTAATGTTGCATTTACGTTTTTCGGTGAACATTATCAACTTTCTTACCTCTGAGGAAAAACAGTTTCAGCTGCCTCTGTCCCTCAGCAACAACAAAGCAGTATAGCACTTTGTCAGGTTGGTATTATCAACTACAATCCAGGACTTATTTTATACAGCATGGTGCCAGAAACAATGTAACACAAATATAATAACTCATCTGTTAATGAACCAAAACCATCAAATTAACCCCACACCTGAAGTGGTTTGATTTTTCTTTTAAGTATTGGGGCCTGCAGGCTGAACAGGTACAATATTTCCCAGGTCTTGGGTGAAGGGGAGGTCCGTAGTGTTTATTGAAGTACAAATCTATTACCATTGCAGTGGTTTTTAATCTGTATTAACTATGTAGTGTAAGGCTATTCAGAGATTTAAAGCTAGTGATCTGATGTAACTTATGCTGAACTGTAGCTGCTGAGACCACAAGCAACAATTGCAGGATAATGGTAAATGCTAAATAAAACATCATGTAATAGCATGAGCCAGTAAAGGAGAGTGATAAAGTCAGAACACAGGCTCAGTGATGTTCATTACACAGCAGGTCTCCCTGCACTTTGCTAAGTTTAGCCAACATTAGCCAAGATAAACAACGAGTTATACTAGAACAATTCAAGCTGTACCACCAAAACCCCTGGCTGTACTGAACTGGGAAAAGGTGGATATATTATTTCTAAATAATTCAAGTTTTCATTTGTAAGAGTAAGAATTTAATCTTTCCCACATATATTTTACTTCACAGTTCGACAAGAACAATGATTATCAGCAAGTCAGTCAGTAAATCAACAATGTTCTTTTTCTCGGTGTCTTTTTAGTCCTGGTGCTGAGTCCAGTTTAATTTGTGATATCTGCCTTTCAATGACTCACATTACTGTTGAAATCTGCCCTCTATTCTGTGGAAACTTCCAGCTGGCAGACGAGCTAAACGAGTTTTACTGCAGGTTTGAAAGGCACTATTCCACACCCTCCAAATGCCCCACCTGAGTTGCACCACCGGCAGCCGTTCCATCAACAAAAAGGACTGTCGATCCCTCTCCCTCTGGACCCCCCACCCCTGAGGATCAGTGAGGGTGAACTGAGCAGTCTCTTTAAGAGACAAAAGTCCAGC